TCTCTAGTCAGAGGCACAGACAGATGTTTCTGCAGCCAACAACTAAATATCAGAATGGTGTGTTGCCTCCCTGGTACCAGGATCAAGGATATCTCGGAGAGGGCGCAGAATATTCTCAAAGGGGAGAGGAACCAATAGGAAGTCGTTGTATACATGGGAACGAACGACATAGGAAGAGGAAAGGATAAGATTCCGAAGAGGGAATATAGGAAGTTAGGAAGAAATTTGAAAAGTAGGTCCTCGAGGTTAGTGATATCTGGATTACTCCCAGTGCCACAAGAATGTGTGGCTAAGGAGCTGGTGCAGGGGAGAAGGATTCACATTTTTGGATCATTGGAATCTCTTCTGGGGTAGATGTGACTTGTATAAGAACGTTGCATTGCACCTGAATTGCAAGGGGACAAATACACTGGTGGGGAGATTTGCTAGAGCTGCTCGAGAGGATTTAAACTAGAAGGTGGAGAGTGGGTGGGACCCATGGAGATAGTGAGAAAGGGAATCAGTCTGCGACAGGTGCAGTTAGGAAAAAGGAGCAAATCAAACAGTCAGGGCAGAAGGGAACAAAGCAGAGAATGAGATAGGACTGATTAATTAAACTGCATTTATTTCAATGCAATTGGTCTAACAGGTAAGGCAGATGGACTCAGGGCATGGTTGGGAACTTGGGGCTGGGATATCATAGCGATTACTGAGATGTGGCTCAGGGATGGACAGGACTGGCAGCTTAATGTTACAGGGTATAGATGCTACAGGAAGGATAGAAAGGGGGGTGGGGGGGACAAGAGAGGATGTGAAGTGGCATTTTTGATTAAGGATAACACTACAGCTGTACTTACGGACGATGTTCCTGGCAGTATGTCAAGGAAGGTTTTTTCGAACTGAGAAATATGACAATGATGATCATCTTATTGGGATTGTACTATAGTTCCTCCCAATAGTCAGCAGGAAATTCAATATCAAATTTGTAAGGAGATCTTAGTAATCTGTAAGTATAATAGGGTGGTAATGGTAGGGGATTTTAACTTTCTAAGCATAGACTGGGACTGCCATAGTGTTAAGGGCTTGGATGGAGAGGAATTTGTGAAGTGTGTACAAGAAAATTTTCTGATTCAGCATGTGGATGTATCTACTAGAGATGGAGCAAAACTTGACCTACTCTTGGGAAGTAAGGCAGGGCAGGTGACTGAGGTGTCAGTGGGGGAGCACTTTGGGACCAGTGACGATAATTCTATTAGTTTTAAAATAGTGATGGAAAAGTATCTAAAAGTTAAAGTTCTAAACTGGAGGAAGGCCAATTTGGACGGTATTAGGCAAGAACTTTGAAAAGTTGATTGGGGGCAGATATTCACAGGTAAAAGGATGGCTGGAAAATGGGCCTTCAGCAATGAGATAACAAGAATCCAGAGACAATATGTTCCTTTTAGGGTGAAGGGCAAGGCTGGTAGTTGTAGGGAATGCTGGATGCCTAGAGAAATTAAGGTTCTGGTCAAGAAAAAGAAGAGAGCATATGTCAGGTATAGACAGTAGGGATTGAGTAAATCCTTAGAAGAGTACAAAGGCAGCTGAAGTATACTTAAGAGGGAAACCAGGAGGACAAAAAGGGGACATGAGAAAGCTTTGGCAAATGGTGTTAAAGAGAATCCAAAGGGATTCTACAAATACATTTAAGGACAAAAGAGTAGCTAGGGAGAGAATAAGGCACCTTAAAGATCAGTAAGGCTGCCTACGTGTGGAACTGCAGGAGATAGGGTAGATACTAAACAAGTATTTTGCATCAGAAGGATATGGAAGCTAGAGAACTTGGGGAAATAAATAGCGACATCCTGAAAAATATTCACACTACAAAAGGAGGCACTGGATGTCTTAAAAAGCATAAATGTGCATAAATCCCTGGGACCTAATCAGGTGTATCCTAGAACTTTGTGGGAAGCCAGGGAAGTGATTGCTGGGCCCCTTGCTGAGATATTGCATCATCGATAGCCACAGGTAAGGTGCTGGAAGGCTGGAGATTAGCTAACATGGTGCCACTATTTAAGAAAGGTGGTAAGGAAAAGCCAGGGAACTGTAGACTGGTGAGCCTGACATCAGTGGTGGGCAAGTTCTTGGAGGGGATCCTGAGGGACAGAATTTACATGTATTTAGAAAGGCAAGGACTGATTATGGATAGTGAACATGGCTTTGTGTGTGACAAATCGTGTCTCGCTAATGTGATTGAGTTTTTTGAAAAAGTAACGCAAGAGGATTGATGAAGGCAGAGTAGTGGATGTGACCCATATGGATTTCAGTAAGGCGTTCAACAAGGTTCCTCGTATTAGACTGGTTAGCAAAGTTAGATCACATGGAATACAAGGAGAACTAGCCATTTGGCAACAGAATTGGCTTGAAGGTAGAAGACAGAGGGTGGTGGTAGAGTGTTGCTTTTTAGACTGGAGGCCTGTGACTAGTGGTGTGCCAGAAGAATCGGTGCTGGGTTCACTGCTTTTTGTCATTTATACAAATGCTATGGAAGTGAACATAAGAAGTATGGTTAGTAAGTTTTCAGATGACACCAAAATTGGAGGTGTAGTGGACAGTAAAGAAGATTATCTCAGAGTACAACAGGACCTTGATCAAATGGGCCAATAGGCCAAGGAGTGGCAGATGGAGTTTAATTTAGATAAATGTGAGGTGCTGCATTTCAGAAAGGCAAACCAAGGCAGGACTTAGGGTGGCATGGTGGCTCAGTGGTTAGCACTGCTGCCTCATAGCACCAGCGACCTGGGTTCGATTCTATTCTCGGGTGACTATCTGTGTGGAGTTTGCACATTCTCCCCATGTCTGCATAGGTTTCCTCTGGGTGATCCAATTTCCTCTGACAGTCCAAAGATGTGCGGGTTAGCTCGATTGGCCATGCTAAATTGCCCATGGTGTTAAGGTTGGGTGGGTTAACCATGGGAAATGCAGGGTTTACAGGAAAGGAGTGATTTAGGTGGGATTCTCTTCGGAGAGTTGGTATGGACTCGATGGGGCAAATGGCTTGCTTCCACATTGTAGGGATTCTATGATTTTTGTGTCACTATACCAAAATATCTTTAGGGAAGGAAATCTGCTGTCCTTACCTGGTCTAGCCAGCATGTAACTCTAGATCCATAGCAATGTGTTTGACTCTTAACTGCCTTCTGAAACTGAGCAAGCCACTCTTTCAAGAACAATCAGGCATGGACAACAAATGGCCTTATATGCGACATCCACAGAAAAAAGAAAAAAAACTCAATGTCCTCCCTTACCTAATTCCTTCCAATGCTCTTCTCTCATTTCATTTACATTTGGGTTTGCATTACAGTTTACATTTCATCTCGATCCCTCTCCCCTTTACCAGGTTAAACCCTTTGCCACCTCCTTATTTACCTTTTCCACTAGGACACGGCAAGAGAAAATATTTACAGAGAGAAAGAGAGACAGAGACACAAGGCAGTTGCAGACTATCTTTTTATCTCAGAGTCAAGGGAGGAGGGGTTGTGGTAAGTGTGAAAAAGCCTGTGCAAGTATGAGATTATATTTCTTTGGCAATAAAGATTAAAATGGATAGGACACAATGGGCAGTCATAACAGTAGCTGTATTAACAGCAAACACACACCATAGTAATGACTGCATTCTTTTCACACTTTTGTTTTTTTCATTCATTCATGGGATGAGGGGTCACTGGCTAGTCATCATTTATTGCCCATCCCTAATTGGTCAGAGGGCAGTTAAAAGTCAACCACATTGCTGTGGGTCTGGAGTCACATGCAGGCCCAACCAGGTAAGGATGGCAGTTTCCTTCCCTAAAGGACATTAGTGAACCAGATCAGTTTTTCCCCCAACAATCAACAACGGATTCATGGTCATCATTAGACTCTTAATTCTAGATATTTATTGAATTGAAATTCCATCACCTGTCATGGCAGGAGCGAGGTTATGCTGCAGCTCCATAAAACCCTGGCTAGACCACACTTGGAATATTGTATTTAGTTCTGTCCGCCTCATTATATGAAGGGTATGGAAGCTTGAGAGAGGGTGCAGAGGAGATTTACCAGGATGCTGCCTGGACTGGAGGGCAGGGTCTTATGAGGAAAGGTTGAGGGAGCTAGGGCTATTTTCATTGGAGCGAAGAAGGGTGAGAGATGACTTGATAGAGGTGTACAAGATGATGAGAGGCATAGATAGAGTGGATTGCCAGAGACTTTTTCCCAGGGCAGAAATGACTATTACGAGGGGTCATAATCTTAAGGTGATTGGAGGAAGGTACAGGGGAGATGTCAGAGGTAGGTTCTTTACACAGAGAGTGGTGGGTGCGTGGAATGTGCTGCCAGCGGTGGTAGTGGAGTCAGATACATTAGAGACATTTAAGCGACTCTTGGATAGGCACATAGACGAAAGTAAAATGTAGGGTAGTTTGATTTGAGAGTAGGATAATAGGTCAACACAACATCGTGGGCCGAAGGGCCTGTACTGTGCTGTGTTGTTCTATGATTCGAACCTGGGTCCCCATAACATTATGTGGGTCTCTGGATTAACAGTCCAGTGATAATACCACTAGGCCATCGCCTCCTACTTATTGAAAGGTATTAGAATTCAACATCTAAAAGTTCAAGGGAGGAGTTCTTCAACCAATTTTGAGACTGCCCATATCTTGTATGTGCTACATTTTATTGTCATGTTCATTTAACTTAAAAGGTATTCTTCAGGAACTTTCAATGCTTTCCTACAGCTTGTAGCATAGCCAGAAGGTGTTTAGTAGTAGCATTTAAATCTGCATTAGTGCAATTAGGATACACGACATTATCTCTATTATATCTATCTCTGTTTCATACTTCCAGTTGCTAAGGATCCATACCAGGAGCAGAGTTTGGCAAAACTCCCTCACATGCAATTTCTTTAGTGTATCACTTGATTAGGTGGAAGATTGGAATACATTTTCTGTTTCATCAAAAAATTCAGTTCTTGTAATAAGATTTTCTACCTTATGCAAATGTCTTACCCTGGAAAATAATTTAGCTACACAGCATGTTGCTTCTGAAGTGATATTCTTTGGAACCAGCATTGTTTTCTTGGACCGCATTGGCGTTGGATAAGCACGGGAGAAACAACAGCCTTTACACTGGAAGATGGGTACCCCTGTTCTTGAGAAACGTGTGTTCTCCTTCAATCTACAGTCTGGACATCCTTCACAGAGAAACAGATAAAGAACAAACAGTATTCTTCCAAATATTGCATTTGTAACAAACTATATAAAAGGCAATGGCACTTTTTTTTCTTACTATGTATGCTTCCTTGAGGATACAGACATCCATTATTTATTGAAACAACCAAGTCCTGTTTGATTGACAGCTTCGGCTATTTGATCTCTACTGTCTGATTGATACTTTTATTGCCTTGTACTGAAAAAAAGTGCTTTTTTAAAACATCATGGAAAATTATTTATGATTTTCTTTAAACTTTATATACATAGCAACCTATCACCATAGGAATAGCCTGTCTTGAGGCTGCAAGATAGACCAATCAGGTTATTTGAGGGCATACTTTGAAGTGGTGAATTGAATGGCCATGGGGCTGTTTGACGAGGCATAGCCCATTATAAGATAATGAAGGGCCATAGAGGTTGAAGGAACCATGGCATAGATGGGGCATGGGGAAAGTGTGAGTGGTGAGATCTTGTTGGTCTTTCTGTTTTTTACTCTAAATGGAATGAAGTTCCACAGCTTTCTTTTCTTGCCTCTATTCTGGCAGATCCTGTGGCAGTCTCTGAACTTTTTCCGGGATCGGTGGACTAATTGGAGTCAGCAAACATCCCCATAATGGGAATCCTATCCTTGCAGGGACTTTTTTCCAAGATAATTTTGCACAGCCAAATTTCCCTGGCTCCCATTACCCAGTTGAAGTTGAAGATTCAGGCCAATCTATCAAAAGGAGTACATATAATGCGTCATTCTTCTAAGTATCCTGTCACACTAATGTCAAATTAGACATTATGCATAAGTATGCCCTCTGGCTCAATGTGAACATTGCAACAGGAGATCTGCTATCTAAGTGTGGCTGGATTCCCATTTTAAAGATGAGAATTGGTCAAGATTCATTGTTTAAGATTTTGCCTTTTGGTTTCACTTGCCTTATCAGTGACAGGATTTATCAGCATTGATATCATTTTAGGAATAGAAGAACAGGAATAGATCATTCAGCCCGCTGACCTTGCTCTGCCATTCAATTTGATCACAGCTGATCGTCTACCTTCATGACAATTTCCCGCAGTATCTCCTTATCCCTTGATATCTCTGAAATACATCCATGTCTGTCTTGAATATCTCCAAATATAGAGCTTCCACAGCTCTCTGGCATAGAGAATTCCAAAGATTCAACATCCTCCGAGTGAAGAAATTTCTCCTGATCTCTGTCTTAATTCTGAAAATACGACCCCTGGTTTTAGACTCACCGTAGCCAGGTGAAATATCTTATCTACAGCCAACCTGTCACACCCAGTAAAAATTTTGTAAGTTTAAATAAGGCCACTCTTCATCCTTCAAAACTCGAACAAGCACAGACAGTCACCTCAAATTCTAAATCCCACCATCCCAGGGATCAATCTGGTGAAAATGTATTGCACTCCCTCTGTGATAAATTTATCTCTCCTTAGAAAAGGTAACCAAAAACTGTACACAATACTCCAGATGCAGTCTCACCATGGCTCTGCACAAGTGCAGCAAAAATCTTTACTTCTGAACTCACATTCTCTTGTGTTGAAGGCCAACATTTGCCTTCTTAATTACTTGCTGCATCTGAGTGCTAACTGTAAGTGACTTATGATAAGGACACTAAGGTCCCTTTGGACAATTGCACCAATAAACCTTTCACCATTTAAGATATATTCTTCTTTTCTGGATTTTTTTTTAACCAAAATGAATAACTTCACTCTTATTCACATAATATTCCATTTTCTAGCCTATTCACTTAGCCTGAAGCTTCCTTGTGTCCTCCTCACAACTTAGATTCTCACCCACTTGAAGGCAATAAGAACTGTAGATGCTGAACCAAGAGTCTTCAGCATCTGTGTGAGGCTGGAAAAGCACATAGGTCAGACAGCATCCGTGGTGCAGGAAAGTCAATGTTTCAGGCTGAAACCCTTCGTGAGGGCAGGGGAAGGAGAGGAGAGTCCAGAAGTAAATAGAAGGAGGGGGGTGGGGCCGGGGCAAAGGTAGGTGGGATTGTGATAGGTAGACATAGGTAGGGGGTTATTGTTATTGGTCAGTGGGAAGGATGGAGTGGATAGGTGAGTAGGTAGATGGACAAGTTAGGTCAGGTGAGGGAGGAGAGGAGGAGGGCAGGGCTGGCTATGGGATAAGGCTGGGGTTGGAGGGATTTTGAAGCTGGTGAAGTCAATATTAAGATCATTAGGCTGTAAGCTCCCAAGGTGAAATATCAGGTGTTGCTCCTCTAGTTTACGCTTAGCCTCACTCTGACAGTGCTGGAGGCCAAGGACGAACATGTTGCCAGGGGAGTGAGAGGGGGAATTAAAATGGATGACAACCAGAAGGTCAGGTTAGTTGGTGCATTTCCTCCCCACCTCTGTCCACTTTCTGCAGGGACCATTCATTCTACGACTCCCTCTTCAGCTCTACATTCCGCACTAACTTCTCCACCATACCCGGTATCTTTTTCCTGCAACCACAAAAGGTGCAACACCTACCACTACACCTCCCCTCTCACTTCCGTCCAAGGCCCCAAACAATCGTTCCAGATCCAGCAGAGATCCACCTGCACTTCATCTAACCTCATCTACTGTGTCTGTTGCTCCCAATATGATCTCCTCTATATCGGGGGAACCAAATGCAGACTTGGGGGCTGGTTCACAGAGTATCTATGCTCTGCGTGCATCAACCAACCCAACCTTCCGGTTGCCATCCATTTTAGTTCCCCCTCCTACTCCCCTGGCAACATGTCCATCCTTGGCCTCCTCCACTGTTAAAGGGAGGACAAACGTAAACTGGAGAACAACACCTGATAATTCGCCTTGAGAACTTACAACCCAATGGCCTTAATATTAACTTCACTAGCCTCAAAATCCCTCCACCACCAGCCCTGCTCCTCCTCCTTGCCTTCCTGACCTGACTTAACCTGTTGATCTTCCTACTCACCAATTCGTTCCACCTTCCCACTGACCAATCATAATAACCCCTACCTGTACCTACCCATCACCATCCCACCTACTCTTCCCCCAGCCCCACCCCCCTCCTTCTATTTATTTCTCGGCTCCCCTCTCCCTCCCTAGCCCTGACAAAGGGTTTTGGCCCAAAACATTGACGTTCCTGCTCCTCAGATGCTGTCTGACCTGATGTGCTTTTCCAGCTTCACACCTATTGATTCTTACATTCTCACCCAGTTTGGCGCCTTCAGCAAATTTGGAAATATTGGGCAGAATCTTATTGGGGTCTAAGCGATATGGGCATTGCCAAAATGTGAACCAGTATTAGACAAGAAGTCCAGTAAGTCCCATATCAACCCAAGCTCATCTTGCACCATGTTTTATGTTTTTTAGAAACAGCATGGTGAGATTCTCACTGGGCAGGGATGAGATGACAGTTGATGGAGACTAATGTTTGCTAAACACCCTGTTAATGCCACAATGCACTCCATTAATATGCCCTCCCACCAAACTCACTGATCAAGCTAGATGACATGAAAATCAAAGAAACTAGAGGGGGTACCTGCAGGATTCAACTCACTGCTTGTTTCAAATGATCTCCATGTGGACATTGTGACAACATTTCAGGACATGCTTACTGCATTCATGTCTTGCCTTACTATATCGTTACATGCCTATTAGTGTGTTAGCATTTCTGCCCGGGTCAAAGATTTTCGCTACTACCATTTTGAAGTGCTCTTTAGCGCAGGCACATAGATAGACTGCTTGTCATGCTTGTCAGTATGGTACTATCCTGAGGGGGAATAGGAAACATTTTGGTGAACGGCACAATGAGATGCCAATCTAACAACTAATGCATCTGTCAATTGCCTGCAAGGCAATCACAACGCACATTCATTCACCCAAATGACCATGTTGGAGGCTAGTCCTCAGTACAGTAAAGGAGTGGTGTGCTGTCAGTCAGGGACTCCTGGTACCGTCAGTCACGGCTGCAGTCCATGCACTGTCCAGGGGCTCCAGCAAAGTCAATAGCCACTTGAAATGCTCATGGTCAGCGGATTCTGTCTAGTACATTTCAGGGAATGTTCAGCAGTCAGTCCTGCAGTGTCAGCAGAAGCAGTCTGGGGAATCAAATATTTTCAGTAGGGGAGTTCTAAACACAGAAATCAAGGATGTTGTCAACCATGTCAAGGGTGTGTTCATTGAGGTCATTCAGAAGTTTGGACAGTCATGGGTGTCTGACCATCAAACTTTCAGAAGGGTTAAAAGGGGGAGCTGTAAGGGAAGATGGGAGATCAATAATAGAAGTGATAGAGAAATCATATCTGGCACATAAGAAGATGATAGTGGATGTTGGCCGTCAGTCATCTCAGCTTCAGAACAACTCTACAGCAATTCTTTAGGGTAATGCCTGAGGCCCAACTATCTTCAGCTGGTTCATCAATGACCTTCCCTCCATAATAAGGTCTGAGGTGGGGAGGTTCACTGTTGATTGAAAAATTTTCAGCACCATTCGCAGTGCCTCAGTTACTGAAGTAGTCCGTGCCCAGATATTTAAGTCATTGAGTCATGGAATCCCTACAGTGTGAAAACAGGCCATTTAGCCCATCGAGTCCACATTGACCCTCCATTCACACCTTCCCCCTACCCTATCCTTGTGACCCCGCATTTCCTATGGCTAATCCATTTAGCCTGCACATCCATGGACACTATGGGAAATTTAACATGGCCAATCCACCTAACCTGCACACCTTTGGACTGTGGGTGGGAAACCTATGCAGACACAGGGAAAATGTGCAAACTTCACACAGACAGTTGCCCAAGGGTGAAATTCAACCCGAGTCCTTGGTGCTATGAGGCAGAAGTGCTAATCACACAGCACCTGGATAATATCCAATCTTGGGCTGAAAAGCGGCAAGTAACATTCGCATCATGCAAATGCCATGCAATAACCATCTCCAAATAAAGACAATCCCACTACCCCTTGATATTCAATGGCATTGCCATCCCCGAATCCCTCACTATCGAT